AGTAACTGGCTCGCGCTGCCAGTAATTACGCGGCGGGATATTCAGTGCACAGACCGTGATCATAAGATAGCGCGAATAGAAAATAGAATTTAGAAAATAGACATTGCATGTGAACGAAGCCTAAGTTGGACTTATGTTATAAATATGCTTTTGCCTGCATTGTATGACAAACGAGAGCAGCCCTATAATCTGTTACATTTTTTTTCATATCTTACAAGTACTTGCTTGGTTAATGCTTATTTCATGTACATTTTTTTTTTCAGTCGGCCGTGTTGGAAAGGATTCCGTTCTTGGCTTGTGGATAATTTTGGGATTAGGTGCTACAGGTAATCATAAGCATTATTGTCTTGTTTAGACATGTCAAACTGTACAAATTTTAATTCCAATTCTGTGTGCTATCTTGCTAAAATTGTACTAGCACAAAAAGTTATGAACAAGCAGTGTTATTTACACTTACTGCTATTAATAATATGTGCTAATGTATAAAGATATAAGCATTAGAGAAATTGTAACTGTAAAATGGCATTCAACTATAGTGAATAAGCAGTGGCCTAGGCTCTCAAAACCACTCCTTGCATCAGAAGTCAGTGAAGAGAAGTCTTCAGTAGATATATTATTAATTTGCTGACTCATGTAATGAACTTATCCAACTAATTTCTTTCTTATAACAGGTAGCTTATTTTACTTTGTGTATCGAGAACTGTTCTCTCGGGAAAGTCCGTATGGAATATATGAAGAAGCCATGGACATATGCTTGAAAGATACAAGAGTAAGTTATGATTTACTAGTAAAGATATAGTTACTATAAGGATATGATTATTTGTTGCCAGAGTATATTCTCTCTCACTCTCTCTCTCTCTCTCTCTCTCTCTCTCTCTGTGACAGTGTGTTGTATACATTTGTTAATTTTTTAAGGTACAAGATGCATTGGGCAAGCCACTTAAAGCTCATGGTGAAACCTCAGGAAGAGGACGCAGGAGACACATCAGGTACAAATTGGATAAAATATGTTATTAAAATTTATTTTTAATCCATTGTTAATTGTTACTGTTGGTTGATATTTTTCTTGGGCTTTCACAGTGTTTACATGAATTTAAAAGTATTATATCTCTATCCCTCTAAATGATGCACACACTAACTATTTTTACTGTTCCAATAAGTGTATTGTGATATATAACCTTTTCCTTCAATTTCCTGTTCCAGACATACAATTTACGAGTTTCAAGGCTATCAACATATGAGACTTCAGTTTTACTTGAAAGGAAAGAGAGAAAGGGCCACAGCCCATGTGGAGGTCAGAAAGGTAGGACAAACATAGCAGAACGAGGTCATATCTGACAGATGCTGCTTGCCACAACAGTTTTACTTATTTCCTAGGATGATGTGACATATGAAGTGATTGTGTTGTCAATGGAAAGCTTGAGCACACCTAACACATTTCACATAAAGGTCAATGTCGCATCTAGCAGATAAACAAGATAAAGTATTGCTTTGGCTTTAAACACTGTGATTTATTAATTTGGGATTCAGAGCGTATCTGTTAATCTGGTGCAGCAGACAAACACGCATGTTCTAACACAAGCACACACATTTTGTTTTTTAAGTATGGGTATATTTGATGGAATTTACTGTTTCACATATGATAATGTATTTTGGGTATGCATTTCAGAACGACAACAATAAATATGAATACAGATATCTCTTTGTTGAAACTGAGGGCTTCCCAAGGCGAGTGATCACTCTGAAAGACAACAGAGCACAGCTGCAAACAGGAGGAACTGCAGGAACAGTTGGCATGAGCATGTAGAGATTGATCTTCCAGTGTCTTCAACTGTGGCCTTTTTTCACACACTGACCTAGCGTGGATGGCTGGAATGTAGAGCCTGATGTCATATCTGTAAGCAGACATTGTGATTTCCCTAGCAGCTTAAAAGACATGAGAGTCATCCTAGATAGCTCAACGTCTGGTGACTTTGCATAAAATCAAGATTTGGAGGAGAGTGTGGCCAGAAATAATGGCAGACTAGCAAGTGTCGTGTTGCAATAAATATGATAATAAATTAACTGCCAGAATTTATGTGTGGGCATTTTCCAGATCGTTTCCTCGAATGTCTATAGAATAACACCCTTTAGCACCATGGTGCTTTTTGGCATGTTTTGTGAATTTCTTTAATTTGTATCATTTTCTGACAACATTCTCATCACAACTAGTTGGAGGGCCCTTATCACATCTGCCAGACTTCAAGATGAAAGATTGCTTTGGCTTGCAACATTACTTAAAGTTAAGTTCATTGTCAAAGATTCTCACTTGTTTTATAGTCTCACAGGACACAATGCATTGCCAACAGACTCTTTTTTTTATGCTGTGTCAGATGATTTCCATTAAACAAGGAATATCAAGAGCTTCCTTTGGCATAAAATCTCAACAAGGTCTGCAGTGAACAGAAAATGTCACCTAGATGCTGTTGCTGCTAAAGTAACAGCACAGGGATAAGTTGCTCAATTGTTAGAACAGCCAAACTAAATAAATTATAAAATATATTTTATAAAAACTCGCCCAAAATGGATAAAAACACATAACCACTTGTGACACATTAGACATAATTTAAAACCATAAAACTACACAAGAGAGTCAGTTCATATCTTGATATTAATTGAATAATTTGAAAATAAATATCTTATATCTTAAAATAGTAATACTTGCTTTTGCACCAGGGAAGGTTAAAAGAATCTTTTGAAACATTAAGAATATTGCTCATTGTGGGAGAAGAAAAATGTGACACCGTACCATTTGTCATTAAACAAGACCCGTATTACGTACCAAAAATTTGGGCCTTAAGGCACACAACAGCAAAATTAATAGTGATTGCATCAGGGGTGTCTCTCTTTTCACCAGTTCTGAATCAGCTTTTGCAGTTTGTCTAACTGAACATGTGATTCTTTCGATGTCACTATGACCTCCATCTAAAGGAAAACTATGAAACAGATTAATAATAAAAACTTCAATCAGTGAATGCACAATCAATAAACTGTGTTGGCAAGATCTGCTGGTATCTTCTCATATGCTTTAAGATCACATTTCAAAATATTCTTTAAACTGAATTTCATGCATCATCTTTTAATATAATATATAATATAATAATATAATATCAGTTGGAAATTGATCATGATACAAAATTTGAAAAAAAGTATTGATTGTGAAATGAATTCAGGAAGTTAAATTAAGGCAAGAGGTACTTGTTGGTGGCTTATATGGCATAGTTGAAGTTTTCCTGGAAATGTGAATTACAATTTTTGGTTTTGTTTTTTCATTTTGAGTCGCTCTAAGAATAAAACTAGAAATGCGTGAAAGTATATATTAGAAAAATTGGACTTTTCAGTGGTTTTGTAAGAGGATATTACTAGTTTACTTTGGTGATAAAGACGAAATGGCTAAATTCTTAAGGCTTTTTTTCACACAATAAACGTCTAAACACCATGGCCTGGAAAGGCACGTTTCACCTCGTTGGTGGCCTGACTTGTTCAAGACTCGCGCCTTTGACTTCTCAATATTTTTGACCAATCAAAATGTAAGCAATAATTCGCTCCGATGATATTCCAAGATGGTGGACCACAGACAGATTAATGTCTTGGCAAGCTGTTGAGTTGTAATACAGTGAACAGGTAAGTGAAAAGTTCACGAATTCGGTAAAAATGTATTGTGTTGATTGTTTGGAATATTTTAATGAACGCTCTTGTATTAGATACTCATACAGCCTGAATAATGATGGCGTATTATCACGTACTCGCCCAGCCTCTACTAAGTAATTATGGCCAAGTAATTATACTGCATGGTAATATTGGGACGTGGAAGATCACAAGCAAATATATATGTGCAATGTATATAGACTTGTTAATGCTTATTTATAACTGATTAATAATAGCGTAAGCGTGTAAAAAGTGGACATGTAAGGAAATGGGAGGATATCACCTAAGATACAGATTGAAAACTTTTTTTAGCAAAATTATACTGACTACTTTAGTATTTACCCAGCTTGCCCCTCCCCCCCCCAAAAAAAAAAAAAAAAAAATTTTTTAATGTAACTTGAAAAGCATTCATTGAGAGACCATTTAAGGATAACATGGTCTTCCTTTCATGTAGGTCCGCCGTATTTATCAGCCTTGCTAGAACTTGTCTCTTCTCGTTGTGAATGCTCTCTAAGTCTTTGAAATTTGAGGTTTTTAAAAATTCATTCATGTGTTCATTTGTGATATTCAGATGGTAGTAAATTAGTTATGCAATTTACTTTCATCTTGGATGTTTATCGTGGATTAAAAATGATCTGCTTAGACTTACTTACTGTGGATTATCCACCTAGTGAAAGCTTATAAAACAAGAGAATTAATAGATAAAACATTCAAAAATAAAGCACAATTAAATCAATGAAATTGATAAAGAAACTCATTAAACATATTACACGAAGTGGACAACTACAAATATACAAACATTTCACTTGGCAAATAGAGAAATAATTATTATAAATATGCAAAGTTGACAGCCATCGATGTTCTGCTTGACTACATATAAAAGCAGTTAATATCAAGAGGCAGTCCATGCCATTTACAAGAGATTCATAGTGCTACACTATTTACTTTAAAACTCTTACTTTATCTTATTTGAATACACAGATACAACAGTTACATAGTGCTACACTGTTTACTTTGAATATCTTACTTTATCTTATTTGAATACACAGATACCTTATCTCTATGTCTTACAGGTCACTCACCCATTAGCCACAGAGCAAATTCCTGAACATTTGGGAGCATCCAGGGCTCCACGTGGGACCAGCATGGATCAGCTTGATCTAAACATAGGCCAGCTGAAAGATCTTCATCTTCCAGAAATAACCCTGTTAAATCTCATATCTTGGACTGCCTCAGGAGCAATGATATTTGGCGGTGTGGTGCCTTTTATACCTCAGTACCGGGATATTAGGAGGACTATGAATGCTGATGGATTTTCCACTTTTGTCTGTTTGACATTACTTATTGCAAATATTCTTAGGATATTATTCTGGTGAGGATTTTGATCATAAACTAGTACCAGCTCATATTTGATGTTTAGGGCTAAAAATAGAAAGGTATAACCCCCCCCCCCCCCCTCCGCCCAATATGCTTTGATGTTGGGAAGAAGGAGTGTTGAATATATGTATCATAATTTGTTGGGCTCAGTATTGGTGCATTTAAAGAATATCCAATATTATTTCAAAACAATTTGGGGAAATATTGATTTGATATATATGCATTTGTCCTTTTCATTTTCATCATTCACATTTATGTAATTATCACACAATTGTTGCATGATATTTGTATTTAGTATAGTATATTCAATATGTTTAAATATGTGTTCACTTTCAGGTTTGGTAAGCATTTTGAGCTGCCTCTATTAGCACAGAGCATAGTAATGATATTCTGTATGCTGTCTATGATTGAGCTGTGCGTACGTGTGAAAAATAGGTCAGAAATTTTGCAAGGAAAACCTAGAACTTTGACAGGTGAGTATTAATTATCTGCTTAGATAAAAATACATATATTTATGTTGTTGTTTAATTTTGGCAGTCATTTTGATCTGATTACCGTTTTAAAACTGTGTTGTTGAATAAGGAAGGGACTTTTTTCCATCTTATAATTTTTTAAAATATATTTTATTGGAGGTATGGCAACCATATTATCACATTATCCCGTTATTTATTTTCAAGCAATTCCATATAGTTTGAAAGCAGCTGTCATTGTTTGCACACTATATTTTATGAATGCAGGAAACTACATGCGCATCATAAATAATCAATGTTAATGAGGTTGAATGAGAGTAGTTGAAGTGTAAACAAACTTGTGACATATGACGTCTCCTAAAAAAGTGCTCCTTGATTTCTGAAATATTTTTTGTTATTTGTTGAACTACATATCTGATCATTTCTGTGAAACAGAATATTTTGTGTTTAGTAAATTGTTAATTGTTTGTGATGTTTCTCTGTGTTCTTACTGACATGTTGAAATTTTTTTCTGTGAAAAAATTGGCACTTAGTGTATAATTAAGATGAATAAATGTGGTCTGTGATTAAAGCCTACATGGTAATGATGCAAAGGCTTGTAGATTTTTTTAAAAAGATGTCCATTGGTGTGCTGAAAATTCTGATAACAACCTGTTCAGAGTGAGAAAAAGAGAAAAATTAATATGTTGCTGCAGCAGCTATGAGTATTGACCTGTTTTAACATTGTCTTTTGCTTAGGTGTTATGATTTATATTTGACTCACTAACTTTATAAATCTTGCATAGTATCTTTTATATCTTGTAGATATTTAAAGTTGCAGTGTTTTATGTAGAATTGTTATAAGTTGATAAAATTGGTGGATTTCATCATCACATTGTCTACAATTTAACAGTTTTAACATACTTAGATAAATTTTTACATAATGTTTTTGTCCTTCACTTCAAATACGTCTTCACTTCATTGTTTTTCTGTGTGTCTTGCGTGTGGCAGAGAGTAAGCGTAGTCGCAGTGATGAACATATAAATCATGCCGATTTGGCCATACGGATGCCTCACCAAAACCCTGTGGTTCGTACTCTCACTGGTAGGTACCCGCTGCTGCCTGCCATGCTCGCCACCATCTGCACAGCAACGCCATCTACAGTGCATTCTGTTAGTGCTAGCGGTGTAGCAAGAAACTCTTTTGGTAGCACATTTTGCATCCCCAAAAAATTTCCGTGAAACTAAAACACCTGTATGCGCTGTATTAACTCATACTGACCAGCAATGCATGTTTACACCTGAAGTACAACCAAACCCAATTTTGAAGAATCTGCAACAAATGTGATCTTGTCTGTGCTGAAATGTTTTGCCAGGTGTCTTTTACCCATGCTTTTTGGATAATGTGAACTGTGCTTCTAACTCTGGACTTGTAGTTTTGCTTTATGTAGAACAAATTCTATATCTTATTTATTTATCTTATTTATTTTATTTGTTTATTATTATGATTATTATTATGTGTTTGTTTGTTTGAGGAAGGCTCGACATGATATCATGGAGTCTCTCTTGCAATCGTCAGCGAAGTTTCAACTTGAACTTTGTTTAGATTTGTTCCAGGAAATAGACATTTGATTGCATCCACATTCTAGGCAATTCATATTAATAATAATAAGTGGAAAAATATAAGAGAAAAAATGTTTAACACAGAGGTGAGGAATAACACAGACTCCCATATGATCCTGTATGATTGCAATCAAACTGCCTTCTTCTTGGGTGAAGTCTTCAGAAATTTCAGTTGCAACAGTGCTGTGAATAGCCTGTGATTTTTATCATTATCCATGATCAGGAGTATTTGAAATATTCATATCAGGATATATTATAGAAAGGGGCATATTGCTAGTAAATTCCCACAAAGTTAAATAGTGCATCTAATTGAGACACTGTTTTTCTCTTTTCATCTAACTCTTACTATCACATGATTATATTGTATTGCAAGTTCTTTTGGGTACTATACTTAAAACAACAGTTTTCACACCCATGTCTTTTTGACATTGTTCATAATTGGAATATTGACCATATTTCATGATATGGGCCTGTGGTCTCCAAACCTGTGACCAGCTTTATGATTCTTTTTCACAAGTAAAACTTGCATTAATAGCATCAATCTAGTTTGTCAGAAGGCTTCATTTTGTGCTTCATTAAATCTTACTGTCTTTTATATATTTGCAAATTGTTGTAAACCAATGCCTTCTTGGAATTTATTTTAAGAAGCGGATGAATTTCTGAAATTGGATTGAATGTAATTTTATGAAATTCTTAGTGAATGTGATATCTTATGTATCATATTTTTGTTCAGGAAGGTTGTGAAACCAAAAATTCTGCAGATGTTAGTGATTTAGATGATTTCTAAATAATATTTAATTTAAATTAAAATTATTTAAAGAATCATTGTCAAGTTATTTATTTCTTAATTGTTAAATCGGCATTGATGAATATTTTCTTCTTTTTTTTTCAAATTCCATTACAAATTTTGAACAGTCCAAATTAGAAATGATATTCAGAATGCTCCTTGAGAAATATTATGTGAAATTATTTTATTGTTGTTCAACTATGTTGTGGTCCTATGCAACTTAAACAGTTGTTTCACAATTATAGGTAAGAATTAATTACTAGCGACATGCACATATTGTCTGTTATTTATCAATATCCCAGTATATATAATTATAAACAGCACGTGGTCCATGTGTGTGTGTGTGTTTGTTCGGTGCGTGCGGGCGTGTGCAATAAGGCCAAAATATTATATATAGTTGTTCATAAGAGTTTTACAGATTCACTTTACTTTTATGGCCATTTTTACTGATGTTGTTAATGTGTTGTCATGTGCAATTTCTGTGATTAACAGCATTGCAAAAATATATATATATATATTTATGGACTTCATGGATGCTTCTGCGCATGTGCTTATTAATATTAACATGGTATTCTATCTTATGAGTCCATTACATTCATATAACTGATTACATTTGAATATGGAATGTGTTTAGAAAATATTTTATCCTTGACCTTTAGGTAATGCTGTCAACACATAATATTATTAACTTGTATGAGAACAGTGCAAAGGAAATAATCATTTGTAAACAACTAATTCCCAAAATTTAAACTTATTTTGTGCTCTCTGCTGAAGACATTCTCAAATAGTGCATTTCTTGTTTAACTTACCCAACCATGTTACAAAGAACAACAGTGAATAATAACAATGCTAAGAATTAAAAGAGGGTGCTCTTTTGTACACACTTTTGTACACATTGTAAACGAAAGTCCTGAATGGAGCAAATTTTAAACTAATGTGTCATGTTTTAGTCAAGGAATATGCCATATCCAAAAGTAGGCATGAGATCAATTTTACATGGAAATGTACTTATTAAGACTGGAACATTAAAATAATCCATAAAACATAAATTCACTGAAAGTTGCCAGGAAATTTGCCAATTTTAAAAGGCTCAATCATGAAAGTAATAATTAATAAGCTTTTCAATCATGGACTTTTGTTTTCTCTCTCTTACAGATTTTGAGCTCCAGTACTTTTGGAGATGGACAGACTTTGGCAGCTACATCGAGTTCCTCCTGTTGTTTAGTTTACTGGTGGGCTTCATCACATATATATGTATAGACATCAAGATTGTTATAGAGTTTATAGGCTTTTCTGCAGTGTTTGCAGAGGCCATGTTAGGAGCACCACAGTTTCACAGGAACTGGGAGAAAAAGTCCACAATAGGAATGAGGTAGATATTAACTGTGTAAAATGACTATATTATAATTATAATGGGTGGATATAAAAACAGTCCTGAACCTAAGACTTTAATGGTTCAAAAAATAAGTCATATTAATATTAGAGTTAAGTGGTATTGAACTTGATACTACTTCTTGTTATTGCATGCGGCACACAAAAGTTTTGACAAAATTGCTGTAAGAACAGCCCATATGGCTCTCAGTAAAAAAATCCCAGTCCATGTTTGTAATGAGTGTTTTGGAGTCACCTGGGTGATTGATTACCTTGGCACAGACTGACACCACCTCTTTCTATGAAGAGACAATGTATCGGATTTATTTATAAAACTTTTTAATTGAATGGACAAACATCGAAAATCTAAAATTTATCTTCCTAATTACATGGCCTTGACCTGCCTAAATCTTGGCTAATGGCAATTGTGTTCTTTAGACTATATTATAATGTTCGTCACAGGGATGCTGCAGGGGCAATCGAGTAAGAAAGGTTATGTGGTCAAGAATATGAAATGCCATACAGTATAATTTGCATTTAATTTTTCCCCTATTAATGCCAGATCTTTTCATTCTCATTTCAGCATCAAAATGGTCTCAATGTGGACGTGTGGGGATGTTTTTAAGACAGTATACTTCATCCTTCGTGAGGCACCTCCGCAGTTCTGGATATGTGGGTTAATCCAAGTGTCCATAGACATTGGCATCTTATTCCAAGTTTGGTACTATAGACACTACCCACAGCTGGCCAAGCCCGCTGTCCAATAGCCTCTGGTCAAACTGATATTTATTTTAATTTTTAATGTGTCTCCTAGTAGGGGACATGGGCCATTCAGAATTTTTATAGTTTAGGAATGAGCTGATTATGCAGAATTTTAATATGATACATGTGCGATTTTGTTTCAACTGTGACATTGTTAGTTGAGTCTTGGACATAATATTCCTAATTTTGTCCATGGTTGAGTTGAAGTTTGGTAGTTTACCGGGTTCAGCTGAGATGTGCTCATAAACCAGTGACATTTCCTGGGTGCTTCCAGTGTGAAAGGCCAGCATTGGTGATGCATTTTCTTTTACCATAAGGTGTTATGTACATGCAAATGGTTTGAGCAGCTCATGGTCATTGTGTGCAATGTGTCAGCACTCTCCCCCCTCCCCCAACCTTTACCCAATCCCTTAAACTTTCTTTATAAATAGGTTTTTATATAAGAAAATGTCGATTCTCATCTAAAAAAAAGAACTTCTCTTACTAACTTGTTAAGGGTGTACATGTAAGATCTGAAATGTCCTTTCAGAACCACATTAATTTTTTATTAAAAGTAACAATTTTTACTCACCAAACATTCAGTGTTCACTGGCTGGCTCTAAACATATTCATTGTAACAGTTATAAAGACACTTGCTTTTGGTCATTGTGATTTTAGACAACCATTTCATTTTATAGATAAATTGTTATTGTCACTTGTGCATTTATTTATTTTTTTCCTTTGTCCCTAATACTGATATCTGTGCTTTTTACAGTACACAAAGATGTCAAAAATTCTCATAGTTTATTAAATATTTCATGGGTTGTTTTCCCCACCAGCAGCTGTAGAGATATTTCTTATTCGGCTTGTAGTTTAAGATATCACTGGCTGATATTAAATACTGCTTGTGATGATGTTTAATAAGAAGTTAGAAAACTGTTTACAGGGAGGGACTATGGGATGTATTACAAAAGTCTTTTACATTAAACTTGCATAGGTACATTGCAGAATGCAAACAGATATTTGATTTGTGGCAGTGTTCTGGCTAGTAATAGTTTGTTTCAGATAGTCAAGAAAAGGTTTGTATCTTAATATATCTAAATTTTGATTTATGATTCTAAATGTAGAATAGGAAAATGTTGTGTAAGGTTGATGATCATAATACCATTCCTTATAAATAATCCTTTCAGGGAAATGTTTTATAGTAACATTTTGTCCAGATCTGTGCTGCAGATGAGATGAGAAAGGCATTATATAGGGCAGCTGTTACCTCAAAAAATTAACTTTTTGAAAAAACGTAGTCTTCACATCGACTTCCTAAGAGAGAACACACACTAAATTATAGATTTTCTTGAAGTGACTGTAGTGTGTATTTTATATGTAATCAGTGTTTGCCTCTTAGGAAAATCAGTTGCTGGACCAAAAGTTCAGCCATCTTGAAATGTAGCTGGCTCGAATGCCTGCCAGGTGGGAAAACTTCTTAGCCCGTTCTGAAAGTTGTCAGTGTTATGTACAACTTTCAGAAGGGGCTGAGAAGTTTTCAGCCACGGGCAGATGGTCCAGCGTTAATTTCTAACACTGTATGTAATGATACATATGAAGATTTTAAAGAAATAGAATATTTTTTCTACATGGATTTTGTGGGTTATGTGTATGTCTTATAAACATGGTTTTGTGTTTGTTCAATTATTAATGCATTCATTGCATCATGATGATGGCATTGGTGGTGTCAAGCTAGCTTTAATTATAATAACATAAAAATCTTTCACTGCGTCACCAGTGTGTGTACTGAAATTTAAAGAAAAAAATGCATAAATATTTTTTTTTACAGCCAGAAGACATAACCTACAACATCAGTTCAAATATATATTCTGGTTTGAACTAATTGGTTATGTATTAGTTTACATGTTTAGAAATTCAACACAATGTTTTAAGGAGTCATTATAGTGGGTATTTTAGTGGTGCTCTTCAAATGCAAGTATCTTATTTTTTATCCCTCAGAATTATTTAGATTTGGAGCCCAAATGAGTGTAACCTAATTGTCTCTGTCTGCCAGTGGCTTTGGAGGCTGCAGTTTGCTCCATTGTGCAATTTTTTGAAAGAATACCAAATGACCTCAGTTGTGAGATTTTTTAGACACTAAAAATTTTAAAAAATTGGCAAAATGAAAAGGATAGCTCTAGTAGATGGCTGCTTGGGTTAAAGTAGATATGGCACAAGGATACTGTAATTACCCAATCTTTTCAATGGGGGAAAATTGTGAATTTTACAGACACTGTATTTATAAGACAGAATTTCTTAAAATTCAAGCATTCCTATCGAGTAGTAATAACAAAATAAAAGAATTGACTACTCTATACACCACAACTGCTGTGTAATTATATTATACTTGTGATTATAAAATTATGTATCACAAAATTTGATCATTTTTGCCCATTGAAAAGATGAAGTAATTACCATGATGATACTTGTTGAGGATTTAGTTGAATGTAAAAACAAGCAGGGATAGACTATTGCAGTAAGCTGCAGTTACGGTTGCGCTTGATTTTTGCTCATAGAACCATGACTACAGCCAGAATTTTTACAAAGGGCTTGTCCAGCTTTGAAACTCTTTCACAAAATAAGTTCCTTTTGTCCCAATCCCGTACCACATGCTGGACTCTTTAACCATCTAAAATATAGCCTAGGGGTTGGATCGTAACATGTTCACTTTACTATTTATGCAAAATACAAAACATTATGATAAACATTGAATATTGTGTTGTTTTTTTAGTCATTATAAACCAGTTGTCTGTTCAGTTATCATCATTCTTTGGGTACAGGGGTGGATGGGTGTATCCCTGCTTCCACACACGCCATAAAACAGATCAAATCTCAGCTCCGAGGTTTAATTGCTAGGCCCCTGCAGCAACAACGTGTGGAGGCAGAGAGACCATCAGCGTCATCTCTTTTGAAGTGTGGTCGGTCATATTTAGTCGGCAGATCAGTTAGTACTGGAATCATCTATTCTGAATGTCTCCCTACTGCGTTCTCTCCACTGCATCACTGTAGCCTGCTCACACATACCACAAACACAGACATTCTTTGTAAATACATCATTTAGAGCACTGATATATGCCACAGATTCATTAATTGCATATTATATTCTAAACTATGAAATAAATACATGGAACATGACAATATTTCAGTCCAGTACTATCTACATCAATAATTATAAGTGGAAGTCCTTGATTTTGAATTTGACCCCAAAAAGTCGTGTTTATTGTTGCAAAGCGCTATTCTACATTCCTCAACAAGTGATGTAGGGCATCTTTGGTCTATTTAACTGGTTGTTTACGTGAAAATAAAATTTAATTTTTATTTAATTTTGGTTAAAATGGTTTTAAAGGTACATACGAACCAAGCATCGATGGAGCATGGATTCCCAGTAACACATATAAACCACTTCTACTAGTTTCTAATATGACTCGAGTAAATTTGACATGCGAAGGGATAAACTGAATGGATCATTCGATCATCTGTAAAAGAGCTTTAGACTGCTCCTTTCTTTAAATTTTTGGTCTGAATTTTAACCTACTTTCGTGACCTACTTTTCTGCCTCATTGACATACAGCACAGAAATCCATTCAAACATTTTCGGGTAAAATTAAACAATGCCTTTTGGTAATACTCTTAATTATACTACTTGAAACTATATGCTGGCATTTGGTTGGCTTTTGTGGCAAAAAATTGATTTATATGCATCTATAAGGTTTATAATCATGGTAACAATGATGATAATAATAGTCCTGTTTCCTAAAAGTAAATAAGATATTCTCCTTTTGTCTATAAAATTGATCCGCATGAAGAAAACCTCCATTTCAAAAGGCACACCATATGGCTTTACAACACATCTGCCAGGTGTTGCTTGCCTTCTGATTCTTTAAAATGGGGTGGCCAGGATTTCTGGACAGAAGGACGCTTGCTCACAGCATCATAGTAGGCAGCCAGCTTGGGAAATGTAGGGCCAAGCTTCAGACCATTCCGGACTAAAAATGCCAGAGTTGGGAAGAAAAAGGCGTCCGCCATAGTGAACCCTCCTCCATCAAGATAAGTTCCCCCTGCCTTAAAAGAGAATTTTTTTTAGCAATAACAACATAACAAGGGCTGGACTGTCACTTTCTATGAATACACCACCCACGTCCCTGCAAGGTTAGAAATACTGTCACACAAACTAAAATTTTTGCAGACAGCAAGTAAAGCTATGGTTTTCTTAATTCAACCAATATATTTTTCAATTTTTCAAAAAAGGACAGCTAGTGCTTTACACAAATACTATACACATTTATATTACTTAGGACTATTTCAAGAAATATGAATTAAAGATAGGTGAAATGCCTATGTCTTGAAGGTACTGGGACTCCACACTTACTGGCAAAAACAACTCAAACATCTTTTTTATCAGCATATTGATTTAAATTTTCTTCTATCTTATCCAAAATGACAAAATACTAATTTATCTTTTTACAATTGTATTCTTTTCATCCATTTTGCTCACTTAGACTTATTTATTATTTTTTGTGTGGACATTTGCAAAACCACTCAGTTATCTTCTATCACTTGAATACACTTCACAACCATGGACTGAGTAAAAACAAACCACAGGGGAATTCTTGCCAGGTGTTTTTTTTTTCTTTAAATCAAAAATGGGTTTGATAAGATGATTTCCCTAGTGAATCAGCACACAGCTCAGCATACTTACTTTCACTAGATATCCCTCCCACATTGCCAGTTCTTCCTTCAGTGCTGCCTTACCTTTCTTCATCTTTTCCTAAAATATAACCATAAGAAGATCATTAAACTACATATTGAATGATAGAATATTTTATTGAAAAAAATGTTTAATTTTGCAACATAAAACTTTCTTTTGGTTTTCTCTCTTGTCTTTACTACTTACTCTTAATTTTCACCTGGCATATTCCAAAAAAAAAAAAATTTAAGCTAAAGCAACAATTACCTTTTACATAATATCATTTTACTGAAATACTGTGCTTATTTTTAAATATTTTATTTAAAAATATTCATATTCAGTGTACATTAATACAACTATCTGATCTTAATCCACTCTGTATATAAATTTAATGGGGTTGAAATATTTAATGTTCAAATGCTTAACTAGCTGTCCAGTTTACCTGGTCAATATCTTCTGGCTTTTTTGCAAAAAAGTATTGGCCCAGAACATCCTCAAAGGCTACCTTGTTGAATGATGGCACCTGAGGAAACAAAATCATCCAATTAATTAATGCTCTAGAAACTCCATAGAGAGAACAGTGTGTGCGTGAGTAAATGTGGGGGGGGGGGGGTGGGGGGGGGAGAGAGGGGGAGAACGAGAGACAGAGAGAGACAGATGGACAAACAGACATACAGTACAGAGGGGAGTGTATCAAAAAAAGGAAGAATAAGAAGGAAAGAAAAAGAAAGAAAGAAAAGAGCAGACAGACCACTGAGGGATGGGAAGGAAGGAAGGGGACATTAAATTATGATAAATGCTCCACCTCAAACATTCTCTGCAGAACATTGGCCTTCCTGGCTGGCTCACTGGGTATCAGCTGGGTTCCAGATTTGTAAGTATCCTGAAAAAATTGTGCTAAAAATTATATCTTATTTACAACAGTTTGCTGTGCTCCTTAAATTTACATGTGGGAACTAAACTGGTATACTAATTTCAAAGCAAATTTTGAAAGATGGAGCAGGCCCACACAGAAATTTATTATAATTATTATTAATATTATAATTACTATTATTATGTAACACGTAAATCGAGAACAAGATTTAAAGTAAAATATGTACGTTTGAAAATGTCCTAAAATCATATATTTTCATGTCATAGGCAAATATCTTGAAAAGCTATTTAATTTATCTTGAATTCCCAGTTCAGGCCTTAAAAATGATAAAAGCTTTCAAATAAAAGGATGTATACCTTCTGGGATGTCAGAAAGACATGGTGGTTTAAATGAACTGTGATTCATTAAGAACAATTTTAAGTTATTCCATTAGAAATTCTAAAACATTCACATATAATCCAAGTGCAGGGATGAAAATTAGACTTGGTTATAGAAAACCTCCAATGTAAGTTGTAAATTATATAATATTAAATTTAATAAAATAATAATATTCAGCATTACACGTACATTGCATGTACCAATCTCTTACCTCCAGGAACAAACATGATGCGTTGGACTCATTGATAACAAGATTTCCACACTTGAATGTTGGAACCTGAAAGTAAAATCAACATGTCAATTAATTTAGTTAATCTGTGATGGAAATGTTTGACCCTTTGTTTGACCTATACTATGTAGGTCCATAAGAATCCACACTGGCCAAATCGATTCCAAGGGCCAAATGAAAACTGAAAATGCACAAATTAGCATATTTTTACTGCTTAGATTTTACTGGTTTTCAATGCCAAGGCTGGTATATATATATATATATATATATATATATATATATATATATATATATATATATATATATGATACAACAATGAATGTGGCCTGCAAGAATGTAATTATATTGAGGTGAAGCAATTATCCTATTGTTTGAAGCAACAGCCGTGGGATAATATGTACTGTTTATATTAAAATGAATTAATAAAATTTTCTTTAAATAAACTAGTATAACTTATAGATCAATCCATTATGTTAATGTCTTTGAAGAGGAATGGCACACAGTTCAATCAGCAGTTGCATAATGTTTACTCATCCTTAGTGCAAACAGTTACTATATTTACTTAATGGTTCAATTATTGGCTTGCTTAAATGACTCGGTCTTCAAGACTGCAGTATGATTTCGAACATAACTAGATGTACGTAAAACTACAAAAATTGCTTGACATGGTGACACCAGTTGGAAGTACAGTAATAATCATTCAGTCACCAGCCCAGCAGTAGTCAACATCCGCATACCCAGTACTTTCTTATTGTGGAACTTGACTCACCTGTCTAAATTAAGGCAATATGTATGGGATTTCTGTTGCCTTAATATATCCCTACTTTGAATTTTAGTAAATTACCTGTCCTTATATCCTAAGAGAATGCAACATTCTTTTTAAGTGATGAAAACCTTTACACAAGCCTTAAAAATTTGCAGACTGAAGGAAAAGCAAAGCAAGTGAGGCACTGCACCCAAAGTTTAGTTTTTTTTCTTCCCCACTTCCCCCACCCTTCTTTTTATGCAACTCTTTTCAGTCTCATTTACAGATCATTGACAAACACAGAATAATCATAGTTGTCACTTTAACCTCTAAGAAATTTAATTTACCTGTCCGCGAGGGTTCAACTTAAGCACTTCATCAGATTTGTGCCCCTTCTCTGAGAACGAAATTATCTTCTTCTCGCAGTCCGACAGTCCTTTCTCCTCCAGTACTATCATCAGGCGCCAGCAAGGGGGACTACCTGAGCCCCAGTAAAGAAGCATGTCTTTGCCTGTGCCTGCCATTTTCGCTTGTGTTACAAGACTAGAACAACACACCCTAAAAATGCAAGTCACTGTGGCAGCTTTTAAGTTGGGATTGGTGGGCAGACCAGAAACAGTGGTCATATAGCCCTCTAGAGGCAAGTTATGAATGTGGCAATTCAAAACTGGCAGTCCTTGGAATGTCTTACCCTATATATTGATTGTTTGAGGGTAAACACTCACTGTTTGACCATTTTCAAATGGATCTCTTATGGAAGATAAAGGCCACCAACGCCCACCCTAATACCCCTCTTCAG